AAAAACCCAAGGGCAGAGTACAGAATATTTGATAGAGTCCTAACCTCAACATCTGAGGAAAGGGATTTAGGGGTAATTATTTCTGATGACTTAAAGGTAGGCAGACAATGTAATAGAGCAGCAGGAAATGCTAGCAGAATGCTTGGTTGTATAGGGAGAGGTATTAGCAGTAGAAAGAGGGAAGTGCTCATGCCATTGTACAGAACACTGGTGAGACCTCACTTGAAGACCGTATCTCCAGAAAGATAATGATACTAAACTGGTTCATGAATTGCAAGATAAAACTTACCAGGAAAGGTTAAAAGATCTTAACATATAAAGCTTGGAGGAAAGTCGAGAAAGGGGGATATGATAGAAACATTTAAATACATAAAGGGAATAAACACAGTAAAGGAGGAGAGTATATTTAAAAGAAGAAAAACTACCTCAACAAGAGGCCATAGTCTTAAATTAGAGGGGCAAACGTTTAAAAATAACATCAACAATTATTACTTTCCTGAGAGGGTAGTGGATACATGGAATAGCCTTCCACCTGAAGTGGTAAAGGCTAACACAGTGAGGGAGTTTGAGCACGAGTTGGATAGGCATAAGGCTTCCCCTAGACTTAAGATAAGGCCAGGGACTAATGAAAGTATTTAGAAAATTGGGCAAACTAGATGGGCCAAATGGCTCTTATCTGCCGTCACATTGTATGTTTCTCTTATAAATTTCAGGCATTGCTCACGTCCCAATTCCAAGTACCCTCAAGTATCAGAGAGGAACTGGTGTAATAGAGGACCACCTATCCCAAATCCCGTTGCCTTTATTTTTCATGTAAGTCCCATCACAACCCTAATGTGACGAGAGCAATCTCACCACATTTCATTGGAGATGCCTGGTTGCCTGCCTGTTGCCTCTGGACTATGGCCCCATGTTAAAAAGCCTTCTTTTCCCCTGCAGAAAAGGCTTATTCATGCCTTTCTGCCTGGTGGTCGGTAGATTAAATCTACCGAACTAACGCACGAATGACTGGACCACCTGGGAGCTGGAGTGTGTCGGCAATTTACCTCCCAGAAGCTGCAGTTAACCACAGCTTAATTGACAAATGCTGGGTGGCCTTTGTTCGGTTGCCGAACACGTGGCAGCGGCCATTTTAAAGTCGTGAACGGCCAGTGGTGTTCAGCGCCCAAACTATGGAACTGTAAACGGACACTTATTTGCTCGAACACCGCTGAGCCGTCAGCCTCCTTGCTTCCGCATTCGGTCATTTAACCGGATGCCTGTTCATTCGGTCATTTAACCGTACGAACAGCAATACCCCAGATAGCCATCCCGTGGAGTCTATTCGTATGGAGAACAGACTTTGTGAACACTTTTGACTCCACGATTGGACTGTGTGCATAGGATCTGAGCGCTATTCGGTACTTTGGTGCGCTCAGATCCCAGCTATCTGGGGATGGCTTACATGTATATATTTGGTGTGACAAATGTAACATTGTGTATTTTATTGTATTTTAGTGTTTTATTGTAACCATGTGGTTAATGGAGTTTTGCCTCTGTCCTTGGAGATACTTGGATTACTTCCCAATTATCTCCAGGATAGAGGGGAGGGACTGTAATGTACTGTGGGAGTGTTTTAACCCTGTATGCCTGTGATTGGTCATTTTACCATTTGTGTCCCAGTCTTCCATCTGGTCCCCTAGGGGAGTGTCCACCAGGTGGAAGACCTGCATAAATACCGAGCAGGAAGCCCACAATAAAACCAGACCACTGCTTGACCCTCAACACGGAGCTCTGTCTCGTTCTTGGGGGGATTTACTGTATGCTGATAGAGACTGATTGCTAGGAGTGTAAGCCGCTTGGGTGCTTTTCCTATTCGTCTGCTAGCAGCTATTCGTGAGGTTCCAGTTCGGGAGTTTAGAGTGCTATTTTGTATGCAGTTCGGGAGTTTGGCGCATTCCCTTATATGCGGTTCGGGAGTTTGGTGTTCTGCAGTAGCTGTGCCTGTATCTCCGGAAGGGGAAGATCTACTAAACGGCGGTTTAACCCTTTTATGCCTGGGGGTGCGTAACACCTAATATAGAAGATCAATTTCTGTATTAGCCCAAAGCCAAGCGAGGGGCTAGGCACTAGGTGCTAGCCCAATTATTGTCAATTCACTCTACTGGTTTGATACAATTGGGAGGTTGGCACATATGGACTCTTTCCACTGAATGCACTAAAGACTATCCTGTAAGCATTTTTTTTAATCACAGCAGATTTTACGAAGATATCTAGGGGTACAGAGTACATATTAGGGAGATATATTAAAAGTTTGCCAGTATTCCAGAAGGCGGATATCGAAGGAGGAATGTGAGCGGTTTTGCCATTTAGGGCCAGATATTTTCAAACAGTATTTTAAATGTGTTTGCACTTGTTTTATAAAGCAGTATCACAGATAATGGGACTCCTTATGTAGGAGGGAATACAGCTAGCAGGCATGCCAGGGGACATTGAGTCATTATTTCCTTGTTTTACACAGTATCTTTTCTAAAAGTAATTTCATTCTAGGAGGAAATTGACCTAGATTACCATTGTTTTTCTTTCCTTTATATTTTATATTATCCTCCTTTAACTATTGCAACAATTTGAACAACAATAAGACACACTACTCTATAATTCTAGTTTTGTATAATAGAGTCCTCACAAACATATACAGACACTTCACCACTCATCTATAATTTTCCACACACACAAAATGTATCAACACACATAGACACAAAATATTACGCAAATATGTTATTATTCATATAAGGACAACCACTAGAACCACACACAGACAACATATGTATGCATACATGCTTTCAGACATAGAACCAATGACACACATATATAAAAACAATCACTCAGATACGCAGATGTACAGTAACACAACTTCATAGACACATGCATACACTAACTTCAATACTTAGGTTTGTCTTTCCTGTTTCTCCCCCTACCTCTTGGATTGACCTGCTCATTCAGTGTCTTCTTCTCTAGTTCCTCCTTCCCTTACCTTTGCTCGGTTAAAGTTCCTCAAGGCATTGTACAGGAACATCTTATTTTCTCCATTTATACTGCCTTTCTTGGTGAGCTAATATCATCCTATGGCTGTATGCTGATGATATCCATCTACATCTCCTCACTTGATCTTTTTCCCGGTCTGCTGGAAAGTGTCACTGACTGCCTATGCTCTGTCTATGACTAGATTGCTTTGCAATTCTTAAACCGCTATATGAATTGTAATTGTAATTATGTGTCCATATGGCTCTTCGAAGATACAGAATTCGACCAGAGGTCGGCCTAAATTCAGACACACTGCAATTCATCCAAAACCAAATGCACAAGTCTAATAATAAGTTAATAAAATTATTTTCTCAAAACTAAAAACAAGGAAGACAAAACAAAAAAACTTGGTCACATAGGTCAGCACTTTTCCATATCGCAAAGATTGGTCTCCTGGTAGTGCAGAGCATGTGGAGGTTATGACAGAACTACCACGGTCACAGGGTTTGCAGCCACGAGGGGCCCGTCACTCCAGGGGGCCCGGCCGCCCTGCTGCCCTGCTGACGCCTGCAACCATGGGCCTGGATGGCAGGTGCCTACTCTGCCGATATATACAGAGGGGTGGACAGAAGGCATTAGTTGATTTCACAGTTCCTCTCTCCTCCCTTGCATGCCCTTTGTAATGCCGTGAATCGGAATATGACAATTCTGGCCCTGGCTTACTAAACGGCGCACAGGAGGAGAAAGGAGGGTGGGTGAGACACGTGGAGGGGTTGTGGGGTGGGAAAGACACATGGAGAGGTTGTTGGGTGGGAAAAACACATGGGGGTCTGGGAGGTGTGAGAGACACATGGAGGATTGGAGAGACACATGGAGGAGCTGGGAGGGATACTAAATTGCACACAGTAGGAGAGAGGAACTGTCACAGCACAGCCCCATGGAGAGGACCCTGACCAGCTCTCCCAAAGGTAGTGAGGCTGGCTGGGCCTTAAAAAAGTAAAATTAATTTGTGAGTGTGCAAGAATGTGTGTGTGAGTCTGTTTGTCTGTCAGTGTGTGTCTGCCAGTGTGTGTGTGTTGTCTATCAGTGTGTGTGTCTGTCAACATATGCGTGTCTGTCAGTTTGTATGTTTCTGTCAGGTTGTGGTCTGTCTGTCAGCATATGTGTGTGTCTGTGAGTGTATGTGTGTGTGTCTGTCAGTGTGTGTGTGTCTGTCTGTCAGCGTGTGTAGGTGTGGGAAAGACACAGGGGGGCTGGGAGGTGGGAGAGACACATGGAGGGCCTGGGAGCTGGGAGATACACATGGGGAATTGAAAAGACACATGGAGGAACTGTGGGGAATGAGACACGTGAAAGGGGCTGGCGGGGAAGAATGAGACAGTGGAGGGGCAGGCGGGACGATGAGACACAATTTTCGCACTGGGGCCCGGTGGTTTCTAGTTACGCCTCTGTGTGGAGAATAATTTAAAAGTTGATTAATTATTTTCACTGAATTGTATTGAGTAAGCAGATAAAAAAAAACAAGAAATCATCCTGTGGTTTTAATAGTTGCTGAAACCCGCTAAATCCTGCTGTGGTTAAAAGAAGAACTAAATCCCAGGTGGTATGTTAAGCACGCAGAATAACACACATAAAGGGACACTCCACTACCCAGATACAAAACAAAATAAAAATCAATATTTAGTTTATATATCCTGAATGAAAACATGCATGCATTTATTGCTACACTCAGGGCCGGACTGGGGATACGAAGCAGCCCTGGAAAAAAATCTATGCCAGCCCCATAAGTCATTGTGCTATGTAGGGTGTATATATATATATACACACACACACATATATATACACAATTGAAATAGTTGGCTGCACTCTCGGATTTCCTGAAAATGTAACTTTTATTGAAATATTTAAGAGAAGATCAATGTTTCAGTCCCTCTTGTGGACTTTCGTCAGGATCAGTTGATCTTCTCTTAAATATTTCAATAAAAGTTACATTTTCAGGAAATCCGAGAGTGCAGCCAACTATTTCAATTGCCTATATATATATATATATATATATATATATATATATAGGCAATTGAAATAGTTGGCTGCACACTCATGCTTACTACAGACAAGCTCACTGTACACACATACTCACCACAGACAGGCTCCGACACACCCATGCTCCTTACAGACAAGCTCACTAACACACACACACATATGATCCCTACAGACAAGCTCACTGACACACATACAAGCTCACTCACTAGCAGGCACACACACACACACAAACTCACTAGCAGGCACACACACACAGAGGCAGACAGTCACTGACACCCAGGCAGACAGCCACACACACACACACTGGCAGACAGTCATTGACACCGATGCAAACACCCACACATACAAAGACAGGCAGACAGCCACACACATACACAGACAGACAGCCACACACTCACACACAGGCAGACAGTCACACACACACATGCAGACAGTCACACACAGACAGTCACACGCAGACCAGACAGTCACACACTCACACAGACAGTCACACATTCACACAGGCAGTCACACACAGACAGTCACACACTCACACAGACAGTCACACACTTACACACTCACATTCAGTCACACAGAGACAGTCACACACTCACAGGCAGTCACACACTCACACAGAGACAGTCACACACTCACACACAGTCACACACTCACACACTCACAGGCAGTCACACACAGACAGTCACACACTCACACAGAGACAGTCACACACTCACACACAGTCACACACTCACAGGCAGTCACACAGAGACAGTCACACACTCACAAGCAGGCACACACTCACACAGAGACAGTCACACACTCACACAGACAGTCACACACTCACACACTCACAGGCAGTCACACAGAGACAGTCACACACTCACAGGCAGTCACACAGAGACAGTCACACACTCACACAGAGACAGTCACACACTCACAGGCAGTCACACACTCACACACAGTCACACACAGACAGTCACACACTCACAGGCAGTCACACAGAGACAGTCACACACTCACACTCACACACTGACCTCCTTCTTACCTCCTGCTTGGAGCTCCTGGAGGCCGGTTGTTGGGGAAGCAGGGACTCCTTCCTGCTTCCCATGCTGCAGTCAGCCGGGCCCTGCCGTAGGTAAGCCCCGCCGCCGCCGCACGCTAAGCCCCGCCCTGTCACACTAAGCTCCGCCCCCGACACAAATTTTATTTTTATTTTTATGAAAGGCCGTGTGTGAGCTGTGCGGCCAGCTCCCCCTGCTCCCATGGGGCTCTGTGCGGCCAGAGCTGTCAGCCTAATGATTAGGGCTGTCAGACCGGCCCCAGGTGCCGCGGCCCACCGGGAAATTTCCCGGTATCCCGGTGGGCCAGTCCGGCCCTGGCTACAGTATATCCAAAAACTGCAGATCTCTTGTCCTCCACTTCTTCCACAGTCCAGTGGGAGATTAACTTGAATTAGATTTAGGTAGGGGACATGTGGGGACATTTGGGAGGCAGCTTCTAGGGCAGGGGTAGGCAACCTTTTAGTAGCACTGTGCCGATATAGGATTTTGATGTCCCGTAGCGTGCCGATCCTATTTTTTTTAATTGAGGTGTGTATACTGCTGTATTCTGCTTGTGTTCTTTTTACTGTAATTGCTTTGTATCGTTGTATTTGTGCGTATATGAGCTATTATATTGTTATTGTAAATGTTCATTAGTAATTTAGGGTATCGTGTATGATACATATGAATGTGGGCTGTGTATGGGGGCTGCTTGTGGAATTGTGTGTGGATGGATATGTCACATTGTGTGTTTGGTAGTGTGTGGGGGCTGTTTGGGGTATTGTATGTGAGAGACTGCATGTGGGTTTGTGTGCATGTATGTGGATTGTTAGTGGTGTTGCGTTTGTGGGGATTGTGTGTAGGCTGTTCGTATTATTTGTATGAGGGGAGGGTTATTCTGCAGATCTAGCAGTGTGGGTGGCTTCCCTGGGTTCTAGTGGGGACCAGGCTGGCCAGGTACAAGTCAATGCATAAATTGAGGGTTGCCCTTCACTACCTCTTCGTATTAGCAGATATCTGAAGTTTTACTGGGACTCCTGATAGACCAGAGTGCATTTGGCTCTAGCAGCCTTGAGTGCCGTGGAAAGACACCTCGAGTGCCATGCATGGCACTAGTGCCGTAGGTTGCCTACCCCTGTTCTAGGGTCTTGGTTTGTGTACACCACACCAGCTAAACTGTTCAGGCAGTGGCGTAAACACAATCCATGGGGCCCAGGTGCGAAAATTAATCCGTGGGCCCCCTTCCATCCCCCCGCGCTAACTCTGCGTGGGCCGGGGCCGCAACACATGGTGGCGGGCATCTGGTCACAGGGGTTGCAGGGCTGCGACCCCTGCGACTGCGATATGTACGCCACTGCATGCAGATACATACACTTAAAGGACCACTATAGGCACTCAGACACTTCAGCACAATGAAGTAGTCTGGGTGCCAGGTCCCTCTAGTTTTAACCCTGCAGCTGAAAGTTTCATAGAAACTGCTATGTTTCACTGAGGGTTATTCCAGCCTCTAGTAGCTGTCTAACTGGCAGCCGCTAGAGGCGCTTCCGTGATAGTCACTGTGAAAATCACAGTGAGAAGACGCTGGACATCCATAGGAAAGCATTGACTAATGCGTTCCTATGGGTGGTTTGAATGCACGCTCTTGCCGCACGTGCGCATTCGGAGCTGAGAGGCGGATCAGGGCGGAGAATTCCCCAGCGCCAAGGGAGCCTGGCGCTGGAGAAAGGTAAGTGCTGAAGGGGTTTTAACCACACACACTCTCACGAACAGACGCATACACACTAGCTAACAGACACACACATTTACTGACAGACACACACTCAGTGACAGACATACATACACTCTCACTGACAGACAGACATACACACTCACAAAACATACACTCTCACTGACAGACACCAAACAGACTCACTAACAGACACACACTAAGACACACCCAAACTAACACGCTCAGTAACAGACACACACAGTAACACACTCACTGACACACACTGACCCTCACTAGCAGACACACACACAAATTAACACAAAACTAGACACACTAGCAGACACACACTCAATAACAGACACACACACAACTAACACACTCAGTAACAGACACACACACAGTAACACACACACACACACTGACACACAAAAACTAACACACACACTAACACACATATACACACACACACACACTCATATATATATATATTTTTAATTTAACCCCCCAGCCTCCCTACCTTTGGGAGTGCTGAGGGGATTCCCTGGGGCCCAGTGGGGCTGCTGAGCAGCCGGTCCTGCAGGCGGCGAGGGAGCACTCTCTGCTCAGCTTCCTCGCGCGCTGCTTACTGATGCCGGAGCCGGAATGACATCATATTCCGGCTCCGGCATCACTGCTGTGCGTGCTACAGAGCTGGGCAGAGAGCACTCAGGGGAGAATGCTCCCTCGTGCGCCCGCCATGCAATGCCACTGTCATCCTAGAGGGGCCCTGAGGCTGGCAAACTGGCGTATATACCCGGTCGCAGGGCAGGGCCGGGCCCGGTCACAGTTGCGACTGCGGTATGTACACCAGTGTGTTCAGGATGGGGAAAGTCCCTCCACTGAGCTAAACAAACCAGGAAGTAACTGGAGCGTTGTCTGATTGACAGCCTGGGGGTGTAAAACGGTTTCTTTTGAAATGTTCACTTTTTTGTAAAGTAGAAAATGAGGACATACTCAACACAAAAAGCACGTAAGCAAGATTTTACTGTCAGTGAGTGTGTGTATCTGTCAGTAAGCGTGTGTCTGTCAGTAAGTTTGTGTTTGTTGGTGAGTGTACGTGTCTGTTGGTGAGCATGTGTATCTGTCAGTGTGTGTGTGTCTGTCAGTGACAGTGTGTGAAGCTACTTGCTCATGTTAAAATAACCTATCAGCCATCCTGAAGCTATACAGCCGATGTTCACTGTCCAAGATTATATATGTACAGCAATCCCATTGAAAACAAGACCACTACCTTTCCCAATCACTGCAGGCATTGGGAATTGCAGCAAAGGTGTGTCTTTGAGTCAGTGATTGTCAGTGTTAGTGATTGTGTGTGTGTCTGTCAGTCAGTGAGTGTGTGTGTCTGTCAGTGAGTTTGTTTCCAGTCAGTGAAGTTATGTGTCATTCATTGAGAGTGTAAAAATGAAAAGGAACCGCACACAATTCTCTTAAGAAAGGGTACTTAACTGTACCAAGGGCCAGCACAAGTCCAGAAGGTATAAATACCAGTATAAGAAAAAAGGGTCCAGGCACTCCAATGTCTTCAGGCACCTTTATTGGAACATGTGGAACACTGCATTGTTTTGACTCCCAAACTTGACAAAGACTCCGTTGGTAGTTGAAACGTTGCAGTATTCCACATGTTCCAATAAAGGTGCCTGAAGACATTGGAGTGCCTGGACTCTTTTTCTAATAATGGTATTTCTTAATGAGAGTGTATTTCTTAATGAGAGTGTGACTGACAGGGTGTGTCTATCAGTGTATATCTTTCAGTGAAAGTGTGGGACTTTCAGTAAGTATGTGTCTGTCAGGGATTGTGCATCTGTCTGTCAGTGAGTGTGTTTCAAAGCAGTGAGATTGTGCGTCTGTCATTGAGAGTTTGTGTCTGCCAGTGTGCATCTGTCAGTATGTCTCTCTCAGTGAGAGTGTGTGACTGTCAATGAGTGTGTGTTTGGTTATAAAAATGAGCATTTTTGAGTGAAAACCAGTACTTAATGATGTACTTAATGACCAATAGAAAATGGGAAGTTATAAAACTTGGCAAGAGAATAGCAAACTCCAGTACAAAATCGCTGAATTGGAAACTAACTGAGTTGGAGATTCTTTACAATTTAGTTATTTTGCAATTTTAAATCATGAGAAATTCCCCAAATTACCAGTTTAATGAAAAACAAGTGTGTAGAAATCTTTTCACATATAAATAATATAAAAGTTATACATACAGGGTTATTCACTAAATTCAGAATTTTGGTGAATTAAATCTGAATTCAAAATACAAGCAAAAGTAACTGAAGATTGGAATTCTTCAACTTTATCCTTA